GATCGAAAATTAGTGGACCCACCAACCCAAAATTACAAACAGTAGTTAAAGGATTCATGACAGGGTGCCCTGGTGGCTCAGTCGGTTAATTGTCCAACTCTTGATTTCGGCTCAGGTCATGATCTTAGGGCCGTGAGATCAAGCCCCTCACTGGGCTCCACACTCATCCGGGAGTCTGCTGGAGATCCTCTCTCTCTCTCTCTCTCAACCGCTGTCTCTCTCTCTGCTCCTCCCCCCCGCTCATGCTCACTTGTACTCTCTCTAAAAAAATAAATTAAAAAAAAAAATTTTTTTAAAGGATTAATGATAATTTTATCTGAATTGTCCTAGATCTCAGTCTGGAGTCAGCAATGCTCACAGTAGAATTCAATCAAACAGTAGCCATTTAAGGAGCATTTTCAAGGTGCTGGAAACTTTATATACATCATCTCAACTAGCCTCACTTTTCAGGTGAGGTCACTGATGCTCAGAAAGTGATGCACACCAAACCACGGCAGTAGTAAAAGACAAAGCCAGGTTGGAGCTCAGGTCTCAGACCCCAAGACCCTGCCTGACCCTTTTCCCTGAAAAGCAGGCCAATGGGCAGTGCCCTGAAATGAGATGGCATTTTAGCAGTTACACCACTTTTTACCCTAATTTCCAAGTCAATACCAACCTAGACATGGCTTAGTGTTTGGAGTCTTCAGCCCCTCAAAGTACAAAGCCCCACACATTCTCAATCACCCTTCCCCTGTCTATTCCCTACCTCCTGAACATAACCTATGTACCAGAAATAACAGTGGGTTTCTGAGGAAAGCCTGGGAGGACGCAGTCTCTTCAATGCTGCATTTCAGTAGAAACTGCCCAGCAGAGGGGTCGTGTGACTCCCAGCTGACCAGCGAGTCTCTGCAGCAAGCTCTGCACATGGAGCACACTTGAATAGCACCTGCCTGATGGTAAGCTTCTCCCCGGCACAGAAGCTACGGGAATGCCAAGGCTGTGCATTGCTATCAGTAGTAATAATCAGTGCTGCCTACAGTTTGCTTCAAACGGTCTGAGGCTCTTAGACTGTGTCATCTCACTTAATTTTCATGCCAAGCCAGGGATAGTAGTATTACGTCTTGCAGATGAGGAAGTGGAAGTTCTGTTTACCAATCAAAGTATGAATTAGCATCCAAACGTGTTTGCTCCGTGGTACAACCTCCCAACCTCTCCAATGTCACGAGAACCAGGAGAACTTCCTCCTTGCATCTCTCCCAGCAAAGAGACATCTTCTGAATGAACCACCTATTTCCCACGGATGAAGAACATGGCCAACGTGGACCTGGACACAGCCTGGGTCTCCTGGGGGGTTACCTGTAGCATCACCCAAAGGGCGTTTGTGATGGTCACAGAGGGAGAGAATGGTGTGGACACCATTCCATTACGTGTGCAAAAAGGGGTCTAGAACTAGAAGTACTTGCCACAGCCTCACATCAACCTGAAAATGATCACTTTTGTACAAGATGGGGAAGGGAAACAGCACATCATGCTGGATTTAGCATTATAAAGGAAGCATACAGAGGGCGTGAGAACCCTCTTCCTCTGCTTCCTTTGCCTTCCGTGTCAACGAAGCCTCGGTAATTATTTGTGACTTATGTTCCTGGAAATGTGTGAACTGACAAATCCATTTCTTTCCCTTTAGCTACGGGATGATGTAGACATGAGATGAGGATAGGGAAGGGAGGGTGCCCTGGCTTTGACTTTGGAGTCAGCCGACCCGAGGCCCAATGGCTCACCAGCTGGGGCTCACTGGACCAAGCTTCCGTTTTCAGAAAAGGCACTTTTCAGCTCTCACAGTCTTCAACTACTGATCTGCCGACAAAAAGGGAATTATCTGTCTCGGGTCTCTTCCCCACTCGAGATTCCATGTCACGCAGGTAGAAAGCTACCTCTTGGAAACTGCCCACTTCTCCAGCTGCTGAAGGAACACCTTCCCAATGCTTCCACCAGGCAGGGATGCACAGCTCAATTTCATGGCCCGCTAACCTTATCCACCTGGCACCTCTCAACACCAACCTCACCCCCCCCGTCTCCCAGGAAGACATCAGTAGTCTCCATCTGGTCGTCATATCCCACCTGGGGAGGGAGTTCTCTTTCCCCACCCCACCACCACCACCATCAGGAGAGGAAAGGGGCTTGGGGACTGGAGTGATGATCAAGACGGAGGAGTTTTATGAAAAAGAAGCTGTATGCTATCTCCAAAAGCATAATTATTTCCTGAATTATTATGTCGCTGGTTCCCCCTTCTAGCTTAAAGTGTATCAGACCATATCCTAGAGCTTCTTTGAAATCACCAGCAGAGCGCTGTGGATTATGTTCTTCCCACCTTAGAAAGTCTAGCGATCTAGGTCAAGGAATTGTTTTGCTACCATTCTGTCTGGTGTTATAAACTTTTCCCCAAATGTCCATTATTCATTCAATCATTCATTCAACAAATATTTATTGAGCACCTATTGTGTACAAGTTCCTGTATCAGTCTGAGAATCCAGCAATAAATAATAGGAAGCTCGTGTTCACACAGAGATGACATTCTAATAGGATGGTGACAGACACCAAATAAATAAGCCAACACATATTATAGGATTTACTGTAGCTTAGAGATAAGGTATCTTAGAGCCAGACGGACCCTGTAAACACAGAGATGGGGAGAGAAAAGGAAAAAAAAAATTTTTTTTTCTAGTAAGGGCTAAATAAACCCCAACTGGCATATTTCTTGGTACCTAAGATAAATGTAATTTGGGGAAATTCTTTACATATAGAAATGTAATAGCCACGTCTTGTTTTCTTTCTCAGAAAGCCAGGGTTGTCAGCTCCCCAGGAGGTCTCGGGGAAGAGCCGTAGGCTCCCGCCCCGCACCAGCAGGTGCTTTCACAGCCTGGCACACACTGCCTGGACGGCGAATGGGTTAAGGTGTCGGCGCCAGAGCTCGGAGCGCTGCATAAACAGTGTGCGTCAGGCGTTCTAAGTGTGCTTCCTCCTCCTTGTCTCCCCGTCCTGGGCTGTCAATCACCTGTCACTTGCCCGCACATCAGCAGCATCGTGCACATCACCAGGCTGTCAGCAAAGAAGCTGATGAGCCTCGGCTCCAAACTGTCAATCATCTTTGTTTCTCTTCTCTGCTCAGGAAATATTTTGGCTCACAGAAACAAAGAAACCTGGACAACAATGGCTTATAGTCAGGCATTTACTCCTGTGCATGGGTATAAGTAAGATCTTAAACGGGTACTGATCACGCCTTACCCTCAAATGGTGTTGGGGTTGGGGGGGTGGGCAGAGGGAAGATCGAGACCCTATTGCATCAGTACAGGCTTTAAAACTAATTCTAGTTCCCTGAGCAGACCCTGATGGATTCACAAACCAAAAAAAACAAAACAAAACAAAAAAGCAGAAACCAAAACAAAGAAACCCACAGGAACACAAAACAATGGTAACTTGAAGTTATCTGAGCTTACGCCTCAAAAGAAAATGAGAAGGCTCAGAGGATGGATGACTGCATGGTTTGAAATTATTCACCATCGATCAGGCAGGCTTTTGGGGAGAGAGTAATTGTTGGATTGCAGAGTTCATTTATCTCCCGGGACTTCTGAAACAGCGGCTTCTGTACCCGACTCTCCTACTCTCCAGGGCATGAGGCTGCTTGGGGGCACCCACACACAGGAAAGCATGTTCACTCTTCAGGACCCCCATGAGCTGGGCTTGCCAGCGCTTATGACAGGAATCATTATGTTGAATGCAAAGACCCTCCAAAACAGCCCACTGTCTGGCATAACCAGCAGCCCCTCTCACCCAAAATACTTATTAGAAATGTCCCGCTCCCTTAAAAGCCCACAACAAATAAATCTAAAGAGATGCTCCTGGCAACGAGTTCCAATTGGACATCAAGTTTAAGTTGTCCTGCTCTCCCCAGTTTGCCACTTGGGCAAAATCACCATGCATGCATTAGCATAATTAATCAGCTCGTCATACAATAGATCCAAATACTACTAAGTTGTCCAAAGCTCTCTAAAGTTATAACAAACAAACAAACAAACAAAAAACTCTAGTGGCTTTGAAATACATTTAGCAACAATCAGATCTTTTAATCATGTTTATCATGAGCCTTATTATCTATCAGTTGCCCAATGCTCTGGATTGACAGTTCATACACGCGGTGGTTGGTTCCATCATCATCTCTATGTTTGTGACATTTGGGATGTTTTACCTTCTGACGGATCCTTTCATACGTGCAATGCCGATTTCTGAAAACACATCTCTTTCTGATCTAACCAGACATTAATTGCTGATGTTTCTATGCCTCTTAGTCTTATAGCACAACTAGCAAATCTGATCTCTGACAAGTTGGCTGAACCTAATCAGGACAGATCAGCTGCTACCCAAGGTGCCAGGGGCAGTAATTTGAGGATCTTTACAGAGTTATCACTCGCTGGAAAGACAAGGAACTATAATTCTGTCAACACTAATCCAAAACTGTATGTTCAAAGCAGCAGTGGCCTCTCCCCTGCCCCCAAGAAAAGCTAGCACTTGTCAAATAAATACCTGAGATAATTGATAAGACAAAATTAGGAGGCTGTGGCTGATACAGTAACTGTGAGAATTTCTTTTTTTTTTTTTTTTAAGGAAACTTCAGAAGCAGAACATTGGGCATGAAATGTCAGCTGTAAAGGATAAAGGAGGGTCACAGGGAAGAGGTGGATGGAAACCCCGTAATCCAGCTCCCACTTATCATTGGGTGACTTAGTTCATATTTGCCTCACTTGCTAAACAGACAGGTGCCCAAACATTCTCAGCCTTGAAGGAACGCTCTCTCAGCTGACCCAGGCTGCCACCCGGTGACAAAGCCTTGATGGGAAGCAAGAACCTCGTCAGCAGAGGAGGTGTTATTGTTAGGCTGTCAGCCCTGTGCTATTCTCTGAAGACCCCTGTGGTTTTCTTACAGGCGCAAAAAGAAGGGATATTAGAAAAATAAACTTCTTTCTTACTGTAGCGCTTTGGTCCATCTTCCAAACAAAATGAAAGAGTTAACGTGGCATCGTCTTCAAAAAACTCGGTGGCAAACGCGTCCCACCAGAGGTTGTCGCTATCCTGCAAAGAGACAGATCATTTATTTAACAGGCAAGAACAGAAACTACCTCAAAGCAGGAAAGGGAAAGGAAAAAGAAAGACAAACCCAGTTTCCACTTGCTTGTTACTCAGCATATGTGTGTGGGTGTCCTAGAAGGCAGGTGGGCGAGCGTGTGGTCACTCCTCAAATTAATTGCCTCAAATGGGGACCGAATTCCAATTCAATAAATGAGTGAATGCAAACTGAATGAAAATTAATTCTCCAGGACATATTTGGGGAGATTTAATAAATGTACTTTGGAACACAATGTGACATTCGTTAACAAAAAAAGTTTACATTTCACGTAAAATACATTCAACTTCTTTTTGGTCTCTCTTTCTCTTTGCTCTTTTAAGAATTTGATTTTACCACCATACCACAACGAGTTGAAGGAGAGTACATTTTTAAAAGATAATCGATTCAAAAAGGGGTGTGTGTGACTTGTAGCCCCACCTTACGCAAATGTCCTATGAGAAATGGGTATTGCCACATGGGTTACACAGACAGATGATACGCAGTGGTCCACGCTTGCACAAACCCCCATTACATGCACACGGATTGTTCTTGAGGACTGTTTTAAGATTATAGGCAATCTATAAGATTATAGGCCTTGTTGTTAACATGATTATTAAAATAAAAGCAGTTCAGGGCGCCTGGGTGGCTCAGTTGGTTAAGCGACTGCCTTCGGCTCAGGTCATGATCCTGGAGTCCCGGGATCGAGTCCCGCATCCGGCTCCCTGCTCGGCGGGGGGTCTGCTTCTCCCTCTGACCCTCCCCCCTCTCATGTGCTCTCTCTCATTCTCTCTCTCTCAAATAAATAAATAAAATCTTTAAAAAAAATAAAATAAATAAAAAAATAAAGCAGTTCAGCAGAATGCAAACTATCCATGCGAACTCTGTTTGTTTTGGGTTGAGCGTTTCTTGTTCATCCAGAAAACACTTTGAAACTGGCCCAGTTTAAGGCAGTTAAAATCATTGTTAATCATTGGGGGGGGGGGGTCCTATAAGAGCGAATCAGGAAGGTTACACCGAGCGTCATATTCTAAAAGGGGGCATCATACCTGGCTTCGTGCTCTGCATCTTGCCCCATGTACCCCCAAATTCTTAAGCACAATCTTTTCCCAGAGAATCTTTGGTCAGTGCCAGACTTTAGGAGGAGATGTTCTGCAGCTGCCTGTCAGACGAGGGAGGGGCAGCTCCCCACTCGGTGGCCCCCACTGCCGTGGCCCTGGTGGAAATACTGCAAGCCTCTCTTCTTCCCGTTAAGTTGCTCTGCTTAGGACAACATTAAGTTGTTGTCACTGGCAGGCATCAGGAACGAGCCTTCAGTCCTGACAAGAAGAATTAAAGGGCCACCGAAGATTGATGCTGTCTGTTCTCATTTCAGAAAAGCAACAGGTCAGGCAAATGAATTTTTTGGTCTTTTTTTTTTTTTTTTTCTGGCTTCCTTCCAATCACTACACCAAAAGCCAACACTTTTCTTGGTAAAACACAGTAAATATAAAAGCACCCAGGGGCGATTCATGACTCCACATACAAACTACCTCTCCTTTTTTTTCCCCAAAAACAAATACTTATTGAGCATTTATTATGTGCAGGTCCTCAGAGCATACAGCTGGTTGAGAGACTGGTCCCTACCCTCAAAGGGCTCAAACCCACGAGTAGGAGAGAGCCAAGTGAGCAACTAACAGGAGCCTCCCTCCAGACCCGAGACCACAGCACGAAGCCTGGGTGTTGTGGAAGCTGTCAGAGTTTCTAGAAAAATCAGTGGGCTTGGAAATGGAAGAAGCAGCTGGGGAAAAAAACCCCACTTAGGAGCCTGGGTACACTGGTTTATTTTATTTCAAATTGCTAGACAGATGGAAAAAGAATAATAATGGCTAACATTTATTGAGTGCTCACCACATGCCAAGCATTATTCTAAGTGCTTTATGTGTATCTTCCTTCTTACTCCTTATTACCACCCTGTTTCTTGTTTGTTTGTTGTTGGTTTTGGGTGGTTTTTTTGTGTGTGTTTTTTGTCCTTAGTCTCCTGTATAATTTAATTTTCTTGTGAGCAGGTGTTCTGTTTTGCATCCTGCGCTATCTCCCAGTTCCCTGAATGGTGTCAAGCCCATGGTATGACTCAGTAGAAGTTGTTCAGTGAATGAATGAAGCCTCTCCCGTTATGTATTATCCCAACTTTACAACCTCAGAAACCAAAGCACAGGTGGGAAATGGAACTTGCCAAGTACACTCAGCCGATAAATTGTCGGGCTGGGATTTCAACTCCGACCCTGTGACCTCCGAGCCCCAGCCTCTGCCTGACTCATTTCTCTGGCAGTCTTTGCCAAGGCAGAAGTTAGGACTTAGAAAGAAGGGAGGGAGAGTGAAAAGGGAATGTTTTGTCTCAGATTGATCTCTTTGTCCAGCTCCTTGCTTCCCGGTACCGCCCTGCTGCCAGGACTCACACCCAGGAGGATGCTCACCATCCTGCCTCACATTGTGCAGTACCCCATGTGGTATGACGTCAGCAGCAGAACTCACGCCTACAGGCAACCCTCAGACCCAGGCTTCATCCCAACACTCCCTCTTCTCAGCAATGTGAGCACGGACAATTTATTTTACCTTCCTGAGCCTGTTTCTTTACTTGCAAGTTGAGGAAAATAATAGGAACATAACAGTAATAATTTTATTGCAAAGTACATGTGACAACAACAACCATAATAATAATTATCTTGCAGAATTTGATGTGAGGAGTAAATAAATCCGTGGGTCTAAAGTTCCCAGAAGAATGCCCAGGACACAGTGAAGATCAATAAAATGCCCCTTCCCTGCCTCTACCTACCATCTTTAGCATCATTTTTAAGGGAGGAGGCGTTGCATGTTCTAAAGAACCGCCACCAAAAATGCACTTTCCAAAGGAGCCTGTTGATAAATCAAGCACGTTTCTTCTCATTCCAAATACTTGTAACGCATTTGCCTGGCGACAGCAACTGTCTGCAACAGAATGAAAACTCAGAACAGAGGTGTATGGACTCTCTTTTGCCCTAATGATTACTCAAAGGCCCGTGACTAGATCAGATCCCGCTCCTGCATTTGCCTGTCATCTAACTCTGGGTTTCTGGCATTCCTGCTAGGAAATGGAGCAGTGAAAGGCAAAAGCCCAGGGAGAACCCAGGCTGATCCGAAAGCCCTGGGAGCAAAAGAAGGACTCAGGCTGAAGTGAAGGGTAAAAAGTGCCAAGGAGCAGCCACATGGGGTCCACACCACCTAGACACGCCAGGACCAGCGGGAGCTGAGAAAGGCACAATGATCCGAGAAGGGGACATGCTCTTCGATTCAACCAACTGCAATGGAACATAAGATGAGTCAGTGTCTCAGGAAATGTCAGAACAGGTGTGGTAGGAGAAGGTTACATCAGGTAGCTCTATGCACACAAAAAAAATCACTTGGCTTTGGTTAGAAGAACATTTCAAAACTAAAAATGAAAAATGTAATTATTCCAGATGCAGAATAGTTACAAAATATATTTATATTTTGGGTTGGCTCGTTGAATGAATGAATGAATGAAATTCTTTAGTGTACCAGCACAGACCCACCTCAAGAAACTCACTCTACAAAGTTTTCAAGAGATCTTGATTGTTGCGACCCTTCTTTGTCTCTTGGCTGATATTTCTAAAATGGCACACCAATTTTTTGATGCATTTTTAAATTATAATTGTCAACTGTCCCCTGACACACACATATATAAAGCTTTTGAATTAGTCTTTAGTTATGAGAGGATAGGTGTTTATGGTAGGAAAGGGAATAAAAGGAGTAAAGCTTTGACAAAAAATTGTTAAATGTCAAGTACAGGCCAGTCTTGTGTTGACTGTGTGTGAAAGAAGCAGATGATGGAAGGAACACACGTGTTGGGGGGCCGTGGGTTAAGAGTAGTACCCAGAACTCAGTACTTTCTAAGGGCTTTACATGTGTTGTACACTCATATATTCACAACTGTCCAAAGTGCTACCAAGGGGCAGAGCAAGCAAACTTATAGAGAATTGTTATCTTTAACCTCTATGTCACACTGACGTCAACATGTGAATCCTGCCTCTTATTAGCTGGAGGACCTTAGTCAAGTCACCTGATTTCTTTGCATCTGTTTGCTCATGTATCAAGTAGGAATAATAATTTCAGTGCACTCTGAGGACTAAAAAGTAACCGCCTAGCACATAGCAGCTGTTCAATAAATGGCAGCCATTATTATTCATTATTGTTTCATTTGACTCTTAAAATTGTTATAGAGAATCCGAATTTCAGAAATCTTTACTCAGTGAAGATCAGACAGCTAGAAAATGGCAAATCTAAAGTTCACTTACAAGTCTGCCTAACTCTAGTACAGTTTTTCAAATTGATTTTATTTTTTATTTATTTTTTTTAAAGATTTTATTTATTTATTCATGAGAGACAGAGAGAGTGAGAGAGAGAGACAGAGGGAGAAGCAGGCTCCCAAGGAGCAGAGAGCCCGATGCGGGACTCGATCCCAGGACCCTGGGATCATGACCTGAGCCGAAGGGAGACGCTTAACCATCTGAGCCACCCAGGCACCCTGATTTTATTTTTTAGAGCAGTTTTAGGTTCATAGCAAAATTATGAGAGAGGACACAGATTTCTGTTCTATCCCCTGCCCCCGCACACACACAGCCTCCCACATTATCAATATCCCCCATCAGAGTGGTCCCTTTGTTGCAACTGATGAACCTACCAGTCTATGATTTTCTGCAAATAATTCTGCTTACAAAGTGATTTTTCACCTTAGGTTGAAGATGAAGGTGGTTCACAATGTAGACAAAGTGGCCAGCATTGCCTAGAGGAAATTCTGCCAGAGCAGATCTCTGACTCCGGCATTTTCAGATTTAATTCCTTTTCTCCCAGCTTCACTTGCTTGCCCTGAAAATCAACTTCCTCTTTATATACGTCTTCCTTCCATTTTGCTGCCTACTCGAGTTCCTGGGAT